AAAGTCAGAATTCTGAGATCAAAGTCAGAATTCTAATATCAAAGTCAGAATTCTAATATCAAAGTAAGAATTGTGAGAATTGTGACTATAATCTTAGAATTCAGGTTTTTATCTTAGAATTTTGACTTTGATCTCAGGATTTTGACTTTGATCTCAGGATTCAGGTTTTTGTCTCAGAATTCTGAGAGAAAGTAAAAATTCTGAGATCAAAGTCAAGATTCTAAGATCAAAGTCGTAATTCTGAGATCAAAGTCACAATTCTGAGATAAAAACCTGAATTCTAATATCAAAGTAAGAATTGTGAGAATTGTGACTATAATCTTAGAATTCAGGTTTTTATCTTAGAATTTTGACTTTGATCTCAGGATTTTGACTTTGATCTCAGGATTCAGGTTTTTGTCTCAGACTTCTGAGATTAAAGTCAGAATTCTAATATCAAAGTCAGAATTCTAATATCAAAGTCAGAATTCTAATATCAAAGTCAGAATTCTAATATCAAAGTCAGAATTGTGAGAATTGTGACTAATTTTAGAATTTAGGTTTTTATCTTAGAATTCTGACTTTGATCTCACAATTGTGTTTTTCCTAACAATTGTGACTTTGATCTCAGAATTTTGACTAAACTTAGAATTCAGGTTTTTATCTCAGAATTCTGAGATCAAAGTCACAATTCTGAGATCAAAGTCAGAATTCGGAGATAAAAACCTGAATTCTAAGATCAAAGTCACATTTCTGAGATCAAAGTCACAATTCTGAGATCAAAGTCACAATTCTAATATCAAAGTCACAATTGTGAGAATTGTGACTAATCTTAGAATTCTGACTTCGATCTCAGAATTGTGACTTTGAATTCTGAGATAAAACCTAAATTCTGAGATAAAAACCTGAATTCTAAGATTAGTCAAAATTCTGAGATCAAAGTCAGAATTCTCAGATCAAAGTCACAATTCTGAGATCAAAGTAATTCTGAGATCAAAGTCAGAATTCTCAGATCAAAGTCACAAGCCTGAGATAAAAACCTGAATTCTGAGATTATAGTCAAAATTCTGAGATCAAAGTCAAGATTCCCAAGATCAAAGTCGTAATTCTGAGATCAAAGTCACAATTCTGAGATAAAAACCTGAATTCTAAGATTAGTGTCAAAATTCTGACATCAAAGTCAGAATTGTGAGATTAAAGTCAGAAGCCTACGATCAAAGTCAGAAGCCTACGATCAAAGTCAGAATTCTGAGATCAAAGTCACAATTCTGAGATCAAAGTCACAATTCTGAGATCAAAGTCACAATTCTGAGATCAAAGTCACGATTCTAAGATCAAAGTCAAGATTCTAAGATCAAAGTCGTAATTCTGAGATAAAAGTCGTAATTCTGAGGTCAAAGTCACAATTCTGAGGTCAAAGTCACAATTCTGAGGTCAAAGTCACAATTCTGAGGTCAAAGTCACAATTCTGAGGTCAAAGTCACAATTCTGAGATCAAAGTCAAAATTCTAAGGTCAAAGTCACAATTCTGAGATCAAAGTCAAAATTCTAAGATCAAAATCAAAATTCTGAGATCAAAGTCAAGATTCTGAGATCAAAGTCAAGATTCTGAGATCAAAGTCAAGATTCTGAGATCAAAGTCAGAATTCTGAGATTAAAATCTGAATTCTAAGATTATAGTCAAAATCCTGAGATCAAACTCAGAATTCTAATATCAAAGTAAGAATTGTGAGAATTGTGACTATAATCTTAGAATTCAGGTTTTTATCTTAGAATTTTGACTTTGATCTCAGGATTCAGGTTTTTGTCTCTGAGAGAAAGTAAAAATTTTGAGATCAATGTCAACAATTCTGAGATCAAAGTCAGAATTCTGAGATAAAAACCTGAATTCTGAGATACTAACCTGAATTCTAAGATCAAAGTCACATTTCTGAGATCAAAGTCACATTTCTGAGATCAAAGTCACAATTCTGAGATAAAAACCTGAATTCTAAGATTATAATAAAAATTCTGAGATCAAAGTCGTAATTTTGAGATCAAAGTCATTCTTCTGAGATCAAAGTCACAATTCTGAGATCAAAGTCGTAATTTTGAGATCAAAGTCATTCTTCTGAGATCAAAGTCACAATTCTGAGATAAAAACCTGAATTCTAAAATTAGTCAAAATTCTGAGATCAAAGTCAGAATTGTGAGAAAAAACAATTGTGAGATCCAAGTCAGAATTCTGAGATCAAAGTCAAAATTCTAAGATAAAAACCTGAATTCTAAGATTATAGTCACAATTCTCACAATTCTGACTTTGATCTCAGAATTTTAACTAATCTTAGAATTCAGGTTTTTATCTCAGAATTCTGAGATCAAAGTCACAATTCTGAGATCAAAGTCAAAATTCTGAGATCAAAGTCAGAATTGTGAGAATTGTGACTATAATCTTAGAATTCAGGTTTTTGTCTCAGAATTCTGAGATCAAAGTCACAATTCTGAGATAAAAACCTGAATTCTAAGATTAGTGAAAATTCTGAGATCAAAGTCACAATTCTGAGATCAAAGTCACAATACTGAGATAAAAACCTGAATTCTGAGATAATAACCTGAATTCTAAGATCAAAGTCACAATTCTGAGATCAAAGTCAGAATTCTAATATCAAAGTCAGAATTCTGAGATAAAAACCTGAATTCTAAGATTATAGTCAAAATTCTGAGATCAAAGTCATTATTCTGAGATCAAAGTCACAATTTTAAGATTAGTCAAAATTCTGAGATCAAAGTCACAGATCAAAGTCACAATTTTAAGATTAGTCAAATATCTGAGATCAAAGTCAAAATTCTGAGATCCAAGTCACAATTTTAAGATAAGTCAAAATTCTGAGATCAAAGTCAAAATTCTGAGATCAAAACCTGAATTCTAAGATTATAGTCAAAATTCTGAGATCAAAGTCAAGATTCTAAGATCAAAGTCGTAATTCTGAGATCAAAGTCACAATTCTGAGATCAAAGTCGTAATTCTGAGATCAAAGTCAGAATTCTGAGATCAAAGTCAGAATTCTAATATCAAAGTCAGAATTCTAATATCAAAGTAAGAATTGTGAGAATTGTGACTATAATCTTAGAATTCAGGTTTTTATCTTAGAATTTTGACTTTGATCTCAGGATTTTGACTTTGATCTCAGGATTCAGGTTTTTGTCTCAGAATTCTGAGAGAAAGTAAAAATTCTGAGATCAAAGTCAAGATTCTAAGATCAAAGTCGTAATTCTGAGATCAAAGTCACAATTCTGAGATAAAAACCTGAATTCTAAGATTAGTGTCAAAATTCTGACATCAAAGTCAGAATTGTGAGATTAAAGTCACAATTGTGAGATCAAAGTCAGAAGCCTACGATCAAAGTCAGAATTCTGAGATCAAAGTCAGAATTCTGAGATCAAAGTCACAATTCTGAGATCAAAGTCACAATTCTAAGATTATAGTCACAATTCTGAGATCAAAGTCAAGATTCTAAGATCAAAGTCGTAATTCTGAGATAAAAGTCGTAATTCTGAGGTCAAAGTCACAATTCTGAGATCAAAGTCACAATTCTGAGATCAAAGTCAAAATTCTGAGATAAAAACCTGAATTCTAAGGTCAAAGTCACAATTCTGAGATCAAAGTCAAAATTCTGAGATCAAAGTCAAAATTCTGAGATCAAAGTCAAAATTCTGAGATCAAAGTCAGAATTCTAAGATCAAAGTCAAGATTCTGAGATCAAAGTCAGAATTCTGAGATTAAAATCTGAATTCTAAGATTATAGTCAAAATCCTGAGATCAAACTCAGAATTCTAATATCAAAGTAAGAATTGTGAGAATTGTGACTATAATCTTAGAATTCAGGTTTTTATCTTAGAATTTTGACTTTGATCTCAGGATTCAGGTTTTTGTCTCTGAGAGAAAGTAAAAATTTTGAGATCAATGTCAACAATTCTGAGATCAAAGTCAGAATTCTGAGATAAAAACCTGAATTCTAAGATTATAGTCATAATTCTGAGATCAAAGTCACAATTGTGAGATCAAAGTCACAATTGTGAGATCAAAGTCACAATTGTGAGATCAAAGTCACAATTCTGAGATCAAAGTCACAATTCTGAGATAAAAACCTGAATTCTAAGATTATAGTCATAATTCTGAGATCAAAGTCAAGATTCTAAGATCAAAGTCAAAATTGTGAGAAAAGTCAGAATTCTGAGATTAAAGTCATAATTGTGAGATCAAAGTCAGAATTGTGAGATCAAAGTCAGAATTCTAAGATCAAAGTCAGAATTCTGAGATCAAAGTCAGAATTCTGAGATCAAAGTCAGAATTCTAAGATCAAAGTCAAAATTCAGAGATTAAAGTCAGAATTCTGAGGAGGAGGAAATGCAATGCTACCAAGATGACCAATCACAGTTTGTGCAGTCTGTATCGCCACAATGTGTAGTTATATGTTTGGATTGCTTCGCGTACACTATGTGGAAAACTGATTATTAGCATTTAAGTCAGTATGGGTCAAAGCTTTTTTCTTGTCGTTGTTGAAAATGTGTCTACGAGCTCGTCCCTGTTTGCTGCTGCTCGTGTTTGTCTGATAAGCCAGTCAGCTGCCTGGAAGCTCCTTGATCTGCAGCCAACATTTATAAAACATCATCATCCAACAATATCTAATAGCCAGCTCTCAACTCTTTCTGAAATGGCCCAGAAAATGTTTGCTTAACTATGACATGACATGATGACGATAGTCTGTACTGTAATGTAACACATCAGGTCATTCTCATAGCTAATTCATTATCATTTGCTTAATTCATTAATCATTCATTTTTCTGTTTCCAGCTTTCAAACAATGTTTGTTTTTGGGAGTTGACAGTGGTATTTTTGACAGTGGTACCCTAAAAAAAATTCTTTCAGAATAAAGCACCTTCTCAAACATAAAAAGGAAAATGTGTTGCAGAGAAAAACGCGATGTCAGCAGTAGATTGTTTTCCTGTCGGTGACATCATGTTTGACCTTTGACACCCACCTCCAGCGCTGCCTTCTGAACAGTGACCTGGCTGAAGACTCGAGCTCCGTCGTCGGGACAAACCGTCTTCAGCTCCTCTTTGTTAAGAGAGAACAGCTGAGCGCCGGTCAGGACGCCGAGGCTGGTGATGGTGCTGCACAGAGCAAACACCCACAGTCAGGTCTGACACCACCTCAAACACTCAAACTCATAAAATCAAGTTTCTGACGTTGCACAACTTGAAATCACAAAAATCACACACAAATTCAGACAGATGGTTCTTTTTAAAGTTAAATATTCAGTAGTTATTCAATTTCACAATTAGGTATTCGTTTGCTTGTCAGTATCAAATAATAACAATATTACTTCTGACTTCTTTCTCTCTGTCTCTAAAAATTAGACAACAGTCATCATATTGATTTCATAATTTTACTTCGTATCTTATAATTTAGACTTCAGTATTTTAAACTGCTTCAACCAGGCAGTAAACAGACTTCCACACGGTCAGCAGCGTTTCACATTTCCTGCCAACACATTCTCACTTGTCACTTGTCTCACTCGTCACATATGGACGCTTGGTCAAGAACTTGGCGTCGTTTTTGTAACGCCCTGGGTACCCTTTAGCATTATTTTATGACATTTAGAGCTCCGCGGTCAAGTTAGCAAAATATATCCAACATCCGGTTTGACTTTCAAAATAGAAGTACTTGTTAACTTTGCCATTATGAAATGGCACGTTATGAAACGTCACAATTTTGTTTAGGCACCAAAAGTATTTGGTTAGGTTTAGGAACAAATCAAGGTTTGGCTTGAAATAACATTACTTAAGTGATTTAACTTACATAAGTCAAGTAATGTTAGTTGGGTAACTTAAATAAAAACATTCAATGTTGACTTTTGGCTTCACACGGGAAAAGAACACTGGCCTCCTGGTTGAAAGTCTAGATTCTGGCCATCCGTCCACCCCAACCACCTCCTTACTCTGACTTTTCTGTTAAATATCTACCGTTAAAAACTGACACTGCATGGTTTCCCTAAGTGCGTTACAAACTGACGCCAACAGGTCTTGCCCATGCGTCCATACGTGAAGACTTGTGAGTACGAGCGGGTTGTTCCTGCGGCTGACAGTTAACACACTGTATAAAGAGACTCACACTGGGCTGAAGCCTTTGGCCTCTAACCAGGCTTTGACCTCATCAGGTGACGATTCGTAAGTGATGCTGAACGACGGCAGGCTGCCGCTGCGGGAAGGAGGAGGAAACTTCTTCTGAGCGCTGCGACCCAACGTCAGTCTGTGCATCAGCTCATCCTGAACTTCCTCCATGTTGGATTTCCTGCCTGCGTAGGGGGGGCAAGGACAAATGAAAACCACAACACGGTACAGACTGTAAACAAACATTAGACCGGAAGTGTACTGATTTTTAATTGGTTTTAATTTTTTTTTACATTTTGAGTCGCAATACTTAATAAGCTCTAATATTATTTACAGTGTTCAATCTCTCAAACTAACCAAACCAATCTAATAACAAAACGTTTTGTTCTCAAAGAATCCATTTTCTCGCAGTACATTGAAAAAAAAAAAAAAAACGTAAAATTAAATGATTTCAATCACTGAACTCCCTCAGCCTATATTTGGGACGGGCCTTTAATTCCTTTCCGGCAAAACTCTTGCTGAGCAAAGATGGGTAATAAGCTACTTGTTTATTTTAACCAGTATGAATATTATGAATATAAATTTGACTTTTTTCATACCAGTTAGTCTGAATTGTTTGCATTAGATGTTGTGGCGGGGGGTGATGGTACAGTGGATAAGACTATGCATTTGGTGTGAGACCTGGGTTCAATCCCCCACTGTGACCCATCCACCATTGTGTCCCTGAGCAAGACACTTAACCCCTCGTTGCTCCAGAGGCGTGCGACCTCTGACATGTATAGCAATTGTAAGTCGCTTTGGATGAAAGCGCCAGCTAAATGAATAAATGTAAATGTAAGATGAATTGAATGATTGAATGGTGGGGTTTTTTTTACATCAAACTTCTACAAAAAAAAAAAAACAACAAAAAAAAAAACAGACCAAGCTTCTGCATTTATCTGTCAAAATGCGTTTCCACACCTGGAAATTTAAGTTTTATGGGATTACAACTTTAATCTCAAAAAATTACAACTTTGATACAGAAATATTTGACTTATTTTTTTGTAAATATTGTGACTGCTATTGTGTAGATGGCTTTTTCTTTTTATACAAAGCTTTAAATGCTAAAATGATGGAAAACTAAATGTCAATCACAGACAAATGACTTCTAAGAAGTTCTCTTTAGCATTCAAAGCTCCAGAGTTTCTGACTGCAAAACATTTTGCTGTCCTGTTGGACTCACGGTTGACGGGTGCAGGTCTCTGGTTGGTGTGGTCCCTCATGGCGATGCTGCCGTTGTCGCTGGACGTGGTGCTGTTCTGGCGGCTGATTGTGCTGCTGGCGTTCGGCTTGTGGGGCTCGGCGGCTGGAGGAGGCAGCGGCGGCGTGGGGAGTCTGGTGGCGGCGGGAGGGGGCGGCGTGGGGGCCGGAGGCATTGGCGTCGCTACGGGTTTACTGGGGATGTAGTCCGTCTTCGTAGTCTGCTTCTGAGAGAGGATAGCTTTTATTTACAGATACAGATTTACTGAACGTCTGATTTACAGTCTGCAGGTTTTTAGATAGACACATTTTCTTTTGGTATTTTCACCTTAAGTTAAAATGTGTCTCTAACCTAATATTTACAGACGGCACGAAACCTTCTGACAACTGAAATGTATGTAGCTCAAAGTCTTAAGTCGTGTTGTCTGTTTGTTGTTTACCTCGTTCAACTCTCCCAGTAATTGCTGGAAACGTGAAATGAAACAAAACATGGTGGTAATGAGATGTTGAAACAAAATGTGTTTTTCACAGCAGCAAACTCACGGCAGGGAAATCTACAAAACCTACTGAGATTATTGACAACACCGTCTTAAACTGAGAGGATCTATTAATTAACTAAACATATTGATTGTAGCCTAGAAAATTCTTCAAAGGAACAGTCTGACATGTAGTAAAATAATCCTGCTAGCCATCTTACCAACAAACAGATTTGAGATCAGGGACATGTTTAGCCTAGCTTAGCACAAACACTGGGAGCAGAGGGAAACTGCTAGCCAATGTAGCTACAGACCAACTAGCATTATCATTATGTTTTTAGGTACAGTAGTTAGCGTTATGATAATGCCAAAAATGTTGAACATCCAGCATTATGGTAAGTGTTAGTAGCTCACTGATGAGCTAGCCTGTATTATACCAGGACACATTTAGGCTAGCTTAGCACAAACACTGGAAGCAAAGCGGAACTGCTAACTAGTGTAGCTACAGGCCAACTAGCATTATCAATGTTATGTTAGGAGTGTCTAGGTACAGTAGTTGGCGTTATGGTAATGCCAAAAATGTTGAACATCCAGCATTATGGTAAGTGTTAGTAGCTCACTGATGAGCTAGCCTGTATTATACCAGGACACATTTAGCCTAGCTTAGCACACTGGAAGTAGAGGGGAAACCGCTAGCCTAGCTCCAAGTCCTCTGATTTGCATGATTATTAATTAAAAAGATGTGGAAACATAATTTTTTTTGAAAAAAGGAGACATTGTGGTTTTACCAGGAATTTTAGCATTGTTGGAGCCATTTTTTACCAATAAACCAGCTAATCTATTAAAATTTATTAAATAAAATGTGAGACTGTTCCTTTAAAATAAATAAATAAATAAATAACTAAATAGGTCCACAACAAAGCACACAGGAGTTTGTAGAAAAAATTATTGGAGAGAAAATTGTGAAACTCAGCAAACTAAAGGCATTCGTCACGGCTCGCCCTACCTTGAACAACTCAAACTCCTTCTTTGGCATCATAAGCTTTAATTGTTGAAAATAAAACACATGAATGGAGATGAGGGAATGAAAGTCATGAAACATCAAGTAAACACGGTGATGTTCGGTTCTCCTACCTGTATGGTGTGGCTGTAGATGGGCTCTCCTCTGCCAGTGATGTCCACTGCTTTGGTGATCTCCAGGATGTTGTTTGGCACGTAGCCGGACGCCCCGCCACCGTTACGAACCTTCCACCACTGCTTCTTGTCGTCAAGAACCTGAGAGACGAGCATCAGGGTTTAAATTTTCATTCAGACTTAAGTTAACGTAAGTATTCTGTAGTGTTGTGTAATTATGTTTGCAGCATTTTTGCTTAGTTTAATCAGCACATGAAGTCCTTAGTTTATTAACTTATTTAACAAAACCATTTTAATTCTATGCTTACAAACATGTACACGTTTTTTTTTTACTAAATTTGACTGAAATTTTAACTAAATAAAGTATATATATAAATAATAAATAAAGTTAAATAAAGGGGTTTTTGTATTCTCCACCACAACCACACACCAGGCACCTGACCAGAATTCATATAACGGCTGAATTGGGAAATTTATACATCCGTGATTTTTTTTAATACACTAAAATTTAGTGTATTAAGTTCGTAGCACAACTTGTTGTAAATATATGGATATTTTAGACCCTTACATGGAATTTAATTATTTATATTTAGAAAGACAAATAAGAAACAAACCTCGACGACCTCGTCTTTGAGGACAGACAGCTCCGTGTTGTTTCTCCCCACAAAGTCATATTTAGATTTGGCAAACAGTTTTGGTTGGCCTCTGCTGTCTGCATCAAAACTTCTGAAATATATCATCAATATATATTAACAGAAATAAAATCTATGGAGCTACTGGAATGAGTATTCATCATTAATAGTACAAATATTTTTATTTAATTTTGAAAAATCCTCTACTGTCACATATGAAAGCAACAACAAAGCAACTATTAACTCAATAACTTAATAATAAGTGGAATGGATCTACCAAAGGTTAGCTGTTTTTTTTATGCTAACGATATTACCGCCATGGAGAAGTGTCCCAACTTTAGATCAAGTTACTGAGAGAAAAATTTAATTAAGGTGAAAAAGACTAAATGAGAAGAAAGAAGGTCAATCAGTGGAAGGAGAAACATCTGAAGGAAATCAATTTGTCCAGTATAGATCAATTTCTTCAGATTTTCATATTGAACCACGAGAATAAATCACCCAGAATAAAGAGATTAATAAACACACACATCCAAGTCAGAAAGAGGAACTCAAAGAAGTTTGAAATGTCTTATTCATCAATTAAATAATATATGAATAAATACTGAAATTATATTCATAATATTTGAATCAATCAATAAAATAAATACATAAATAAAAAAATAACTCCTAACTTATTTATGTTTACATTAAAATTTTTGTTTTTCTGTGTTATGAAATAAATACAAAATGCATAAATACATTATCGTATTTAATGTATTTCTATATTTTAACTAATCTATTAGTTTATCTGTGTTTATAAAATAGATATCAAATGCTAAAATACAGAAATGTATTCAATTTATTTCTACATTTTAACAAATCTTTGTTTTTCTGTTTATGAAATTAATAAACGCAAAGTACAGAAATGTAATTTAATTGTTTTTATATTTTAACAAATCTATTTGTTTTTCTGCATTAATAAAATAAATAAAATAAATGCATAAACATAGGAAAAAAATACATGTAAATGTGTAGAAAAACAATTAATTACAAACCTTTAATTACTGATTATTTAACTGCTATATTTCTTTATTTCAGCCTTTATGTATGTATTTATTGATGAATAAGTCACATTTACTCCTCCGTAGTTTAAAGTGCAGCTCAGGGATCAGTTCTCCAGGGCGTCATGTGACCTCAGAGTTACCGGTCTACGTGGCGGCTGACGGCCTGTTTAAAAGCAGCCACGGCCGCGTCCTGATCCAGGATCTGCATGCGTTTGTAGGAGGTGTTGGAGAAGGCGTACCCGTCTGCAGGAGGGAACTTCTGCACCGCCGAATGCTGCACAAACAGACAGGAAGTAAATGAAACGGCTCGTTCCTGTGATTTAGGAAGACGTAACCTGTGATATATTTACTAACCTCCTGGGCCAGTCTGAGCTTCAGCTCCTCTTGTCTCAGGATCTCAGCGTTGGCGAGAGTCTCGGCCAGCTGAGTCAGCTCCTGTTCTCTGGACGGAGTCACCGACGGGAGCGCCGGAGGCTCCCAGCCGTCCCGAAACCTCAGCACACAGGGAGGAAAGTAATGATCCTTCGGCCACTCCAACCTGGACATATTAAACACGACAACATTTATCTTAAACTGCGTCCAGGAGAAGAAAAAACCTTTTGGTAAAATACACTCAGTATAATATCATGTATTTATTACACAATGTTTTTATTATGGACGGTCCACCAGCTGACGATGATGTGGCAACTGATAACTGAACTGCTGACACTAATGATAGTAGGAAGGCTTTCCTCTGTGATAGCGTGAATAGCAAAGAGGAGGAAGAGAGAAAAAAGCGAGGGATGAAGAAGAGACAAAGACAGAGGATTGTCCAAAGTATGGGATCATTTCAAGCCTCGGTGTCGGACCTCACCTGCTTTTGGTCCATCCGTCTCCCAGCGTGACCCACAGGTGTCTCTCCTCTGCCGACCCCGAGGCGTGCAGGAAGTCGATGGCCTCACTGGTCAGCAGAGGAACCACGACGCTCCGGGCCAGATCCACACTGCCGGACGCCTGGATCACCTGAGGAGGACAAGAGGAGGTGGGACAGGAGGAGGGACAGGAGGAGGACAGGATGAGGGACAGGAGGAGGAAAAGAGGAGGAGAGGTGAGGGACAGGAGGAGGGACAGGAGGAGGAGAGGTGAGGGACAGGAGGAGGGACAGGAGGAGGACAGGTGAGGGACAGGAGGAGGGACAGGAGGAGGAAAGGTGAGGGACAGGAGGAGGACAGGTGAGGGACAGGAGGAGGGACAGGAGGAGGACAGGTGAGGGACAGGAGGAGGGACAGGAGGAGGAAAAGAGGAGGAAAGGTGAGGGACAGGAGGAGGGACAGGAGGAGGAGATGAGGACAGGAGGAGGGACAGGAGGAGGAGAGTTGAGGGACAGGAGGAGGGACAGGAGGAGGAGAGGTGAGGGACAGGAGGAGGAAAGGTGAGGGACAGGAGGAGGACAGGTGAGGGACAGGAGGAGGACAGGTGAGGGACAGGAGAGGGACAGGAGGAGGAGAGGTGAGGGACAGGAGGAGGAGAGTTGAGGGACAGGAGGAGGGACAGGAGGAGGAGAGGTGAGGGACAGGAGGAGGAAAGGTGAGGGACAGGAGGAGGAAAGGTGAGGGACAGGAGGAGGAAAGGTGAGGGACAGGAGGAGGGACAGGAGGAGGACAGGTGAGGGACAGGAGGAGGAGAGTTGAGGGACAGGAGGAGGGACAGGAGGAGGAGAGGTGAGGGACAGGAGGAGGAAAGGTGAGGGACAGGAGGAGGACAGGTGAGGGACAGGAGGAGGACAGGTGAGGGACAGGAGGAGGGACAGGTGAGGGACAGGAGGAGGACAGGTGAGGGACAGGAGGAGGGACAGGAGGAGGAAAAGAGGAGGAAAGGTGAGGGACAGGAGGAGGGACAGGAGGAGGAGATGAGGACAGGAGGAGGGACAGGAGGAGGAGAGTTGAGGGACAGGAGGAGGGACAGGAGGAGGAGAGGTGAGGGACAGGAGGAGGAAAGGTGAGGGACAGGAGGAGGACAGGTGAGGGACAGGAGGAGGAGAGGAGGAGGAAAGGAGGAGGAGATGAGGACAGGAGGAGGGACAGGAGGAGGAAAGGTGAGAGACAGGAGGAGGGACAGGAGGAGGAAAGGTGAGAGACAGGAGGAGGGACAGGAGGAGGACAGGGGGAGGACAGGAGGAGGAGAGGTGAGGGACAGGAGGAGGACAGGTGAGGGACAGGAGGAGGAGATGAGGACAGGAGGAGGAGATGAGGGACAGGAGGAGGGACAGGATGAGGACAGGGGGAGGAGAGGTGAGGGACAGGATGAGGACAGGAGGAGGAGAGGTGAGGGACAGGAGGAGGGACAGGAGGAGGAAAGGTGAGGGACAGGAGGAGGAGAGGAGGAGGAGAGGAGGAAAGGAGGGACAGGAGGAGGAGAGGTGAGGGACAGGAGGAGGGACAGGAGGAGGAGAGGTGAGGGACAGGAGGAGGGACAGAAGGAGGAGAGGTGAGGGACAGGAGGAGGGACAGGAGGAGGACAGGGGGAGGAGAGGTGACGGACAGGAGGAGGAGAGGAGGAGGGCAGGAGGAGGACAGGAGGAGGAAAGGAGGAGGAGAGGAGGAAAGGAAGAGGAGAGATGATGGACAGGAGGAGGAAAGGAGGAGGAGAGATGATGGACAGGAGGAGGAGAAGAGGAGGAGAGGAGGAGGACAGGTGAGGGACAGGAGGAGGAAAGGAGGAGGAGAGGAGGAAAGGAAGAGGAGAGGAGGAGGACAGGTGGAGAAGAGGAGGAGAGGAGGAGGACAGGTGAGGGACAGGAGGAGGAAAGGAGGAGGACAGGTGAGGGACAGGAGGAGGAAAGGAGGAGGACAGGTGGAGGAAAAGAGGAGGAAAGGAGGAGGACAGGTGGAGGAAAGGAGGAGGACAGGTGGAGGAAAGGAGGAGGAAAGGAGGAGGACAGGTGGAGGAAAGGAGGAGGAAAAGAGGAGGAAAGGAGGAGGACAGGTGGAGGACAGGTGGAGGAAAGGAGGAGGACAGGTGGAGGAAAGGAGGAGGAAAGGAGGAGGACAGGTGGAGGAAAGGAGGAGGACAGGTGGAGGACAGGTGGAGGAAAAGAGGAGGAAAGGAGGAGGACAGGTGGAGGAAAGGAGGAGGACAGGTGGAGGAAAGGAGGAGGAAAGGAGGAGGACAGGTGGAGGAAAGGAGGAGGAAAGGAGGAGGACAGGTGGAGGAAAGGAGGAGGACAGGTGGAGGACAGGTGGAGGAAAAGAGGAGGAAAGGTGGAGGACAGGTGGAGGACAGGAGGAGGAAAGGAGGAGGAGAGGAGGAAAGGAAGAGGAGAGATGATGGACAGGAGGAGGAAAGGAGGAGGAGAGATGATGGACAGGAGGAGGAGAAGAGGAGGAGAGGAGGAGGACAGGTGGAGGAAAGGAGGAGGAAAGGAGGAGGACAGGTGAGGGACAGATGGAAACCCTTTTATGCAATGTTTGGTTTTTTAGATTCGTTTTCCTCCGAACATGTTTTTACTTTTCATTAAGTGAAAACCTTTAAAGTCTGAAGTTCTGCTGCCAAACAAACTATTTCCTCCGGTGTGATAAAACCTGAGAATGTGACACATGAAGTCGTTCAGAGGATTAAAGTGTTGTCTGACCATCCTGAGCGGCGTGAAGAGGAAGTGAAGCAGATCCACGGCGCTCGGGTTCTGGATGTGATCCTTCAGTTTCCCCTGCGGGTCACACAGTCCGTCAGACGGGTTCAGAACTAACCTGCTTCATTTTTATTTTATTAATAATATAAGGTCACATGACGGAGACGCTCCTACCAGCTGGTTGAAGGCGTGTTTGAACTTCTGCAGGCAGTCGACAAACTCGTCCTCGCCGGGAGGTTTGGAGCGCAGAGTCAGGACGCCCTCTGGTGGACAGAGACAGGAAGGACAGCAACAGATTATTTAGAATTGACTGCACTATTTCGTTACCTCCTACTTCTTCCCCTCACTGATTTATTTTTTTATTTTTTTATTTTTTTCCTGCACCAATTTATGGCGGAAATATCGATTTATGTGAAAAGAAAAACAATTCAATATGTCACAGAATATAAAGCAGTCATCAGCAGCTTGTTACTTTTTTTGGACAAAGCACATTTGTTTCTTCTATATTTAATTTGCATTGCATGTTTTCTTATTGTGCAAATAAACTTTTCTCAAAGCATTTTCACTTGTTTTTTAACATTTCTTGTTGCTGTTTGTCAGAACATTTTTAACAAATGCTTTCAAAGAGTGGTGGGACATGTCCCCAGCGTAAAGGACACCTGTGATTGTTTGCTCTTTAAAATGTCAGAAAATGGTGAAAAATGCTGATCAGCGTTTCCCAAAGTCCTCAGACACAAAGATCTTCAATCTTACTGATCTAACTTTTACAGAGAAATATTCACATTTAAGAAGCTGGAATCAGAGAATTTGGACATTTTTTCTTTAATTTATCAAAATTAGTAATAGACTTTTTTAATTAATCCAAAAAAGTCTGAAAATCCGAAACCTTAAATATAAATTTCTTCTCTGTATCTTGAATCTTGAAAAACAAGCGTATTGAATTTGTAGTTAACAATATCATCATAACAAAATTCTATACACAGTAATGTTGTTTCGCTGAATCCAACATTTGTTTTTCTACCCAACAAATGAATAAAAAATAACCAATAAACATTATAATCATTGGTTAAAGGTGCATAAGGTGAAAACATCCTCTCTGAGAGGCGTGATTCTGTGTCGGACAGGAAAGTTTGTCACTGTACTTCTCTTCCATGTGTTATAAAGTTTGTTTTAAAGCCTTGAGCGGCTGCAGTCGGACTCTCTGAGCCCTGCGGTTGTCTTTTCATGAGTCCTAATGGATCCTCCTTCACGTCTTTCCTTGACCTTGTGACGTTTTCCATCGAGGTCAAGGAAAGGTGGTTAGGAAAGGACTTTTTATTTTTCTTCGACCGCAGCCTTGCACTCTGCAGCAGAAGTCAAATCAACTTGGCATTTTCTGATTATCGGTTTTATTTTTATAGTTAGTTATAGACAGGTCTTGTTTATTGATTTATCCTCGATAGAAACCAGAGGAACTGAAAAAAGTCATGTTGATTTCATCATTAAGTCTTCACTCTCTTTACAGGACCTCTGAGTGGTAAAGTCAGTTGAAAAAATAATCTAAACTCAGATGTGACAGGATTCAAAGTCCCTCCTCACCTCCTGGACCTTTCTTCTTGCCCTTCTTGACCTTCTTCCTCTTGGAGAGCTCGTTAAAGGCCTCAGCGGCCTTCTGCAGTTTGGTGACGAAGAACTCGATGTCGTCCAGGATGTGGTTCAGGATTTGCTGCGCAAACAAAGTTTGTTTCAGAGCAGCTTTTAGAGGTTTTAATGTTTCACCTTCAGGTTTGTCTTTAACGTGACTTTCACTTTGGATCGACTCACTGACTTTTAATGATTAAACCTAAACTAAACAGCCCTGAGGTCAGTTTTCTGTCCTTTATGTAACCAGATTTTCCCTCAAAGCTCCGAAGTGATTATATTTAAATAAAACTACATTCTTCAATCAGCTTAAGTCCTCGATCTTTTGTCCCGTGAACCTCCGTGACCTCAGATTTAAACACAGGCTCCGCCAGCTGCTCTCAGATCAGTTCAAGCGTTTAAAAAGGACAGTTCATTTTTGACAGACTGGACTCACCACGTCTCGGTCCACCCTGGCTGCACTCATCTCCACCGGCCCGTCCTCCTCTGAGAGGTGTCTCTGCTTCTCACCTGAGGGCAGAATACCAACCAATCAATAACCAATGAAGTTAATATTAAATAATCAGATCTGCATCAAGCTGAGTGAATTACATAATAGATAAAGATTACTTAAGGCAATAACGATTATTTTCATTATTGATTAATCTGTAAGTTATTTCCTCGATTAAATGTTTGGTGTACAAGAAGTCAGAAAAAAAACCCAAATATTTTAAATGTACACCAACGCCAGGCAGCTTGTCTTCACTTCGTTGTTTGGTAGTTTTGTTCTGAAATCAATAATCAAAATAGTTGTCAATTAATTTTGTGTCAGTCGACTGATCGATTGCTGCAGCTCTAACCACATTAGCCACATTTAGCTCTTTAGCTCCAGAGGAAAGGTCATGTTGGTCTCTAAATCAAAAGGCTTTATTTTCTGTACGGTGGCCTTTAAGGACACCTCAGACTCAACTCTATCACACCAAGATAACTTTGAGCTGAACGCTAGCAATAGCATGCTAACATTAGCGTTAACATGGCTACATTTAGCATGTCAACAAGCTAACATTTAGCATGTTTGAATTTATGCTTGTTTACAGAAATCTTTGCCAGAAGTTTAAATAAAGTTTTGTGAGTTTGAACAAAGTTTAGACTAAAAGCATGACGTCAGAGATTAAGACGTCATGCTGTAGTTCCAGGTTTAACATCCTTGTTGGTTTACGGATTCCAGGATCTGAAAACACATATACTCCTCCTACGATGTGACATCACTCACAGTCTTGCTGCTCATTGGTCCACGCTGACCAAGCGGCCACTCGACTCTTCACGTCCACCTGATTGGACGATGCCGGTGGTTCGGGGGCGGGAGCGGCGGGCGGAGGTGGGATGACCCCGTCACTCTTCAGGATCATCCTGCAGACAGACGGACAGATCAGCCAATTAGCTGTCACCATGACAATACAACCCCTCACCGTGGGCCTTCCCGAAAACAGACCCTCCCACTTCCACTCCGTCACGGAGCAAACTCTGAACGCTCAAACTGAGTGGAAGTAGGTGCGGGAGGGAGGAGCAAGTACTTTCGGGGAGGCCCCGTGTGTTTGATGATTGGTTCTTACTTGAGTGCCTCTGGTCTCTTCTTCACTTTGCCTCCTTTGGCATCGATCATGGCACTTTCTATGTCTGCGTGGATCAGATTCGCCTGAAGGGAAATTAACAGACACATTCATGTGATGCAGTTTGTACAAACAGACACAATAAAACACATTAAAAAAAACTTTTACACATCAACTCTGTCTGTAAAAGTCCTGACTGTTGAATAAATCTTCTGTAATGACTTTATTTATTCGGTTAAATCAGCCATGGTGCGCCACAGGGCTCCATTCTTGGTCCACTACTATTTACGTTAAAATTATATTGTTCTATTTAAAAACAGCTTTCAAAATTCTTTCACGTCCTCCTCTCGTTTAGTCTGTAACTACAGACCGTATAAAAACTTTCTGAACGTCTCGTTCAACCGTGATGCGCTTCCCCTCCGTGGATTATACGCCATGTTTTCCTCTGCAGCGGGGCGCCGATTTAACGGCTCTGCTGGAAAGCGAAACTTACGTTCCGCCTGCCATCGCTTCCTTTCCTCATAATGTGACTCCTTTCAGTTGTTTCTGTAGTTTATGAGTGGACGAGCCATCAAAAACATGAGAACGCTCAGTGATCTGTGCTAGTTGACCACGTTTATGCACAACACTGCACGGACTGCTGGATTTTAGTTTTGAAAGACTGTATGTATGTATTTACGCCCGCGTAGTGAATTGAAAACACATTTGCATTTACACATTTCAATGCAGTCAGAATGCGTCCCTGACCACCTCCTGAGGTGGTTTTGCAGACCCATCTTCAATGCGTCTCAGGTGCATTTACACCTGTCCTTCTCATACGGCCGATGTAAACAGCCTCCACGATGTTCAAAAGTTGTAATTGGTCAAACTATTATGCCTGAGTGCACAAGGCCCTTTTGGTCTAGAAGGTATTTGTCCTCGTCCCCAAGGTCCTTGAGGGCCTCCAGAGATCCTTGAAGTCTAACATGTTTTGGGGGGGTACCAAAAGGTGGTTTGCAGGTCACTGAACAGGTTGGACACGTTCTTGAGGACGTAATAGTGGGTTCATAAGAAAAGACCTAGGGTCCGTCAGGAGGTTGCAGAAGTCCCTGATGAAGTTCCCTGATGTGAGGAAGGAGCCTGGAGCAAGTCACAGACGTCCTTGATGAGTTTCTGTCAGTCATTCAGGAGGTTCAACCGTCCTTTAAGTCTTTGCAGGGGTTCTTGAGGAAGTACTAGGGGTATTTAAGGCACTCAGGAGTTCCCAAAAAAAGATTATGCACATCCTTGGGGTAGTTTTGGAGCTTCTTATTAAGGTATTATAGAACTTAAATGGTTCCAGAGGTCCTTGAAGAGGATGTACAGGTCTTTAAAGAGGGGTCCTAATGGTCCTCGTGGAGGTTTGGAGGTCACTGAAGATTGCAGAAGTCCATGACAGTGTTTCCAATGTTGCTGGCAAGGTTCCAGGAGTCCTTGAGGAAGTTCCAGGGGTCTTTGAGTGAGTTAAGTGGTAACTTCAGTGTGAAGAATTGCTACTGTTGCTATAGTTAGCTTTAGTTTTGACTGGTTTCTCACCCCTGAAGGACGAGTGAATCTGCTGCCTCTGAACTAAAAAAGGACCAATCACAGGCAGTTTACCTTGATGTCGTCACACTGGAACAGGTGGAGGTCAGGTTTGCTCTGACCCGACTCTTTACACACCAGAGCCAAGATGGAGTCGTAGCCGCAGGTGTTCATCACGGCCTGGCAGTGCTGGATCGTCCCGATGGGGAAGTTCTCCAACTCGTTCTGAGAAACACGGGTTCAAATTAAAAACATCTGGAAGAGAGAAATCTGAAAAAAGCTCGCCACTCACAACGTTTCCAGAAACTAGCAAACATATACATTTCATAGATTTCCAACCCCGAGGTTAAACTCTGGACTGAGAAGCTCCAAATCGTGTTTTGCGAACACTAGTGAGTTTCTCACCTTTGTTTCAACGTCGATGAGGCTGACAGTTTTCTCCTCCACCTGCAGCAACATCTCCTGGGTCCAGACTTTTCCTTTAGCGTCCAGGAGACGAAGACGCCGGACTCCATCGTCCACCGTGATCATCCCGTCTTTACGGTCCAACACAAACGAGGTCAGGTGCTGAAGATCACACAGGATAATTCACTTCAACTAAATCACCCCAACAGCTGCTCAGTGTTTCCCAAACACTCAGTTTGTTTATTTATTTCCAGAGTCGTCAGATTTTTATAAGAAAAGTCTTATTTTCTTAAAATTAAACCCAGAAGATGAACAATAAAATATTCTGACACTTGTCGCCTCTTCACTGCTAGTAAAATTAGTCTGGAAAGTTGAGCCTTTTGTCTGATTTATACAACAGAACATGAGCGCACCTTCCAACAAAAATTAAAAGTCCCATATTATATAAAATGCACTTTTTCATCTCTTTTCAACCTAAATTTGACAGAATCTAAGTGTCTTCAGACCAAGCAGCTACCTCCGTCTCTCATAAGTGAACCCAGTGTTGAAGCTCCTTAAACCTGCGACTCCAGCGGCTGCAGAAAGAAGTGTGATTGTATAGAAGTCTATGAGAAAATGTTTCTACTTGTCAGCTGATTTATTCCCTCAGTAAACACTTTCCTGATGAGTTTCTGGTCTCAGTCGTTAGTTTCAAGTCTTCTTCAACACAGCATGATGTTCATTTAGTAAATTATGGTCCCATTTAGAGGAACAGAGACCAGGAAGCAGGGGAGGCTTTAGGGCGGGGCTACAAGCTGATTGACAAGTCGCTACCATGACGACCTGTCAGTCAGGATAAAGGCGGCTCGTATCCGCTGCTCTGTGTACATTTAACCAGCGGCGCTGAAAAAGCTTCATTTCCTGTTAATTTTTCCTGTAAGTACATTTTGTTTCAAGCCTGTTTGCTGCTACCCAAAATTAGCATCCCAGCTAATATGAATTACAGATGCATCTTGCTAACTAAGCTAGCTAGCGCCACCGGTCACATCCGGTGCCTGGTTTAAAAAAACAACAATTAACATGGTGCGGCCAACATGCCAAACTCGAGGCTTCAAAACGGTAGTCCATATAATAACGGATGACGTCACGGCGGCTACGTCCACTTCTTTTATTCAGTCTGTGCTTCAGAGGGTGAAAAGAGTCGCTGAAGCAGTGATGAGAAAACCAAAATAAAAGCATGAACCTGAAAGTGAGCATAATATGGGACCTTTAAATGTTCAACTTGTTGTAATGTACCATTTCAAACCATGAATAAATTATAATTTAATGAATTCTTTGCAAAAATGACCTTTCATTTTGTATTTTATCTCTATAACCCGACCTGGATCAGGATCTAACTTTATGACACCTCAGGGAGCTCTGTGATCGGTGGTTCCTCATGAATTCTAACTGAATCACATTTATCGTTATCATCAGCTAATAACTCGGTTTCTAAAATGTGCTTTAAAAGGAAACAGTTGTTTGCTCGTTGATCTGGTGAAGAATCAAAGCCTGCTGCAGAATCTCCTACAGAAAACTCAGTTATATTATTTTATGATGTTTCCGGGTCTCACCTCCACATGATACTGCGACGTGTCCGTCAGGCTGTTGATGCTGTTTTTGGTGAAGTGTTTTCTTTGTTCTGAAGGAAAGAGCAGAGCAGTTAATAATCTCTTTATTGGCACTCCGTCCCTCCAGGAAGCTGTTTCTTATCATCACTGCGGTGACTGAGAAGCTTTACTTCATTAACAATCCACAGATCATCATATTATGTCATTAATCCCTGGAACATTAAAAATGATTTCCTAAAATGTAAACCGCTGCCTTCAGATTTTTCTGTGGAAATAATTTGGTCACATTTGGTGGAAGTTGGGTAAATTCTTGAGGTCACACGACTGCCAACACTTCCTGGAAGGACTGAAAACAAATATTTAGGTGTTTTTCACAGGTTGGAAAAACTAGTTGAGGTTAAGAAGGTAAAAATACAAAAACACACTCATGAAAAGGAAGAAAACAGCTGAAAAGATGAATTTAAATGAACACAAAAGTGATTCTGTCTGTCTGAAACTATAAAACTAATTTATTTCAGCAGTTTAAAGTCACATAGAAGTGACTTGGGATTTTATTAATGTTTAGTTATTGACAAACATCAGGAATTCTCCTTTAGTTTGATTTATTCAAAGTTTTATTGAATCAAATTCTATTTATTTTCATTCTACATTTCTAGCGTCTCCTTTTTTCATATCTGGTTCCAAAAAGAATTAGACTCAGGTAAAAGAAACTACACTGTATTGCCAAAAGTTTTAGGACACCCCTCCAAATCATTGAATTCAGGTTCTTCAATCACTTTCATGGCCACAGGTGTGTAAAATCAAGCAGCTAGTCTGCAGACTGCTTCTACAAACATATGTGAAAGTGAATTCAAGCGCGGCACCGTGATAGGTTGCCACCTGTGTCCATTCGTGAAATTTCCTCCAAGTAAATATTTCACGGTCACCTGTTAGTAGCGTTATAACAAAGCGGAAGCTCAGCCACAAAGTGTTAGGTCACATAAAATCACAGAGCGGGGTCCCAGTAGGGGTGGGGGAAATTCAATGCAGCATAGTATCGCCATATTTTCCGTGTTAATATTGTACCGATCTTTTATTATATAAATGTACATGAGAAATTGACTTTTTGGTACTATAATAATAATAAAAGTAGTTGCTTTTTTCAGTCCACTAGAAAAATACAGTAGTTTCCCCTTTGGGGACACCATTTGTAGTTGGTAAAAATGTAATAAATGTTTAAAATCGCAATAATATTATAATAATCATTTTGTGACAAACGTATCATGATAATATATCGTATCGTGGGGACTCTGGTGATTCCCACTGCTAGGTCAGTGCGCAGAAGTCGCCAACTTTCTGCAGAGTCAATAGCTACAGGACCTGCAGCTTCACTTGGCGTTTAAATTCAGTCTGAACAGAACTCCTGCATCTCCTGCACCCCCCCACCCCCGTCCACAAACATTTCACCTGAACATTGTACAACAAGCTGCACACAAACTTGTGATCATCCAAA